AGACTCTCACATAAAGCCCAGCGGATATCCAGCCTAAGCTTTAACTCAGGTTACCTGGCTAAACATTACGGCTCTTGACCACTCCTTCTCCTCAGCATTTTAATTAGTTGCCTGCCCACTCCAATATAAATTCATTTGTGGACTCTAGTTAAAGTATTGATGAGTTAACAATGGTGGGTGCACAGTGCCCTCCAGTGGTCACTGCTCCATCCTCCACCAGGAGGTTTCTGACCCAGCTGGAGGTGCTGACGGCAGAGTTGCGACAGAAGTTGCTCCTGGCGGGTGTCGCCCGTATTGGAGACCTCCTGGACTATGACAGGCGGGAGTGGGTGGACCCTGCTGTGGTGCGTGGGTCTACCCATGACATGTACAACCTGTCGTCTGGTCCGGGAGGTGAAATCTGCCCTACCTCCTGATGTCCTTGCCTTTGTTGACCAAGTCCTGCATGGCAGCGGTCCCCTCCCCACTGTGTCCTCCAGCCCACCGGAGTTTGTCATGGGTCTGGTGCCTCACCCAGCCTCATGGCGCTCCCCACACCACTACCTGAGCCAGCTGGAGGACACCAGACCAGTCCACTTTTCCACTGTCCATCGCCGCCAACTGTACACACTTGTGCACCACACTGTCCATCATGCTGCCCTCGTGTCTCACCCAGACAACACGTGGTGGGACTTGCTTGGTGAGGGTGTGGCTGGGACACCCCGGTGGCTGAGTCTGTACTCCACCCTCATCCCACGAGCCACTGAAGCCCTCAGCTGGTGGCTCCTCCGCGGAGCCATCACCACGGGCGTGTATGTGGTGAGCTTCATGGAAACCCTGCTCTCCTGCCCTTTCTGCGGGCAGAGGGAGATCCTGGTGCACACGGCCCTCGAGTGCGCCAGGCTGCAGCCTCTCCACCTCCACCTCCAGAACCTCCTCTTGAGGTTCTGCTTGAATTTCACCCCCCACCTTTTTGTTTTTGGTCACCCCGTCTGTGGCCCCACCAAGTCCTGGGACCTCCTGGTCAAGCTCCTCCTGGCCCTGGTCAAGTGGGCCCTGTACTTGGCCAGGAAGGAGGCTCCGGCTGGGAAGGTGCCTGGAGACTGTGAGGCCACTGTCCTCTCACTTGTCCGTGCACATTGCCAGGCAGAGCACCAGTGGGCGGCATCCACTGGGTCCTTTGATGCCTTTGAGGACTGGTGGGTGCAGCCCAGGGGGCTCTGCTCGGTGTCCCCCTCAGGCGCACTTATTTTCACATTTTGACCCTTTGACCCACACAACACTCCTATCCTGTTTTTTTCATTAGTTGTCTCAAGTATTTTGTTGTGTCATCCATCCAGTGGCCACATACAATAGGGACTATTAGTTAGTATAATTGGGTTATACAAATAGGAGGTTTCTGACCCCTGGGCGGCAATTAATAGTGCAGCAGAGTCATTTCCCTTGATCCCACGGTCCCAGCACAAGACAATATTCCGGAATGTCCATGACACCAGCCTGTCCAACACTCAGGGCAAGGCCTGCTGGGAGTTCAGCCTGTTGCAGCTGCCATGCTGAGCACAAATCAAATCTAGAGGAGGACATTGTAAGCATATGGCCATGCGATTCCCACAGGCAAGAAACAGGGGTGGCTTCATGCACATTCACAGATCCTGGAGGCTCATCTATAGCAGATCCTGTCCAAGGGAAGAAATTAAGCCCTTCAACCCCAATACATAACAAAACAAAGAGCAGGATGTTTGTAGGGAATAGGCTTGTTGGAGGCATTAGTACTTTGGGCACAGTCTTAAAGCACTGCTATCACCACCTGTGCATGCAGTTAGGAAGAACAGGCCTATAGGTTTAGGTTTGAAGGGCACGTCCAAGGGAGCAAAGTGAAAGCCATAGGCCATTGCATTGCCTTTGCAGGATTCACCTCCATGTGTGCAGCATACAGGGATCTTCACCCACCTTTCTCAGAGCAGAATGAACTTGAACCTCATGGACATCAGCCCTATGTTTCCATGCAGGCCTAGTTTAGGGACCCTACAGTCTCAGGTAGCAGGTCCACCCCCACCCCCCTGACTATTCTAGCTGTTCTTAAAGCCCCTGAGAGCTAGAAATGATTTATCTGAATGAACATGGAGAGTCTTATCTTCTCCAGGGACTCCACATGGTGGGACTGTGGGCAGGAGAATGTAGGCAGTGCCCATGTCCTCGTCCCATTCAGATCTCTTTACACAGCATGAGGAGGTTGAAAGAAATGGGAGAAACAAATACTTGTCTGTTAAGGGCAAAGACCAAACCTGGTAGCAAGTGCAGAGCCTGCAGAAAACGGCGTGGGAGTGGACTGGCAGAGGAGATTTTTGTCTCACTGAACTGCTGTGTTGAGCGTCGTTATGAAACACTTCACAGTAATAAACAGCCTCATCCTCTGCCAGGGCCCCAGCGATGGTTAGATATGCAGCATTCCTGGACGTGCCTTTGGAGCCAGAGAATCGAGCGGGGAGCCCAGAGCTGGGGAACTTTTGAGACTCTGACTTGTATGTCAGCAGGTATCGAGGAGGGGTCCCAGGTTTCTGCTGGTACCAGTGTGTAAAAGAGCCACTGATGCTGTCCTCACTGCTCATGGTGTAGGAAAGTTTCACCGTGTTTCCTGGGGACACTGACTCTGAAGGAGGCTGCGTGAGCAGAGACTGTGATCTGGCACCTGAAAAAAACCCCCAAATGTAGAAGTCTGTCACTCCCAAACTGTGCATTGCCAATAGCTGTGGACAGGGATGGGATTGGCTTCACTTGCCATTTTAATATATATTTAAGCCAGTCCCCCTGTCTCACCTGTGTACCAGGTCCCTAGCAGCATGATGAGTGGAGCCCAGAGCATGGTGAGGAGATTTCAAGCTCTTGCAACTAAAACAGCCAAATCCCCTGAGGATACCCCACTGTATCTGCCCCTTATAATGGGGCAGACTCTCACCCCTCCTGGGTGAGGAACACCAAGCTCTACCTTCAGGCTTTTCAGCTCTTGCACGATTGATCTCTGAAATTGCGTAGACACATCGTGTAAGAATGATCAAGGGCCCTCCCTATCAGAGGAAAGCTCCTGGCGGAGCCAGAGGCACAGGTCTTGTGAGGATGACTGGAAAGGGTTAACTGTGAAAGACACTCTGATAACTGAGAAGACCTGGGAGGATCGGGGATTGCCCCAAGGAACTCAGTGAGCAGGACAAAGGCCCTGTGCTTGGCAGAGAACAAGATGGTGACCATGATGACACTAGGAGGTTGTTATGGGAAATGAAGGCATGTGCATAATCAGTGCCTAATAACTCATATGTGGTTTGAATGTGTTTGACCCATAAGCCAATAATGAGAAGCTAGAATGTATAAACACTGCATTGATGTAAAAAAAACATGTTGGAAATAATGAACCCTGTCATCCCCTGTCTGCTGTGGGATCGTTCCGCTGAGAACCAGGAAAGACGATTCTGATATCAAACTCATGCTTCATGCTCTGTGTGGTCAAATTGACAGGAGGATGTCATGAAGGTGTCATCAAAGGTCTGAAGCCCTCATTGTAATGTCTCAGCATGCCCAAAATATCTCTGTTGTGTAGCATGGACTGGAGCAGAACTGAGCAGAGCAGGTGCACGGTTATGGATGACCAAGGGTGGCGTTCCTCTCCCCTCCAACAGACTGTATCCTGTTGTTACAACCCAGTGGTATCAAGAGGGAACTGGGTAACCACTCTTGGGGCTAGTGACAAGGGAGCTGCCCAGTGGGGCATAAGACACAGCGGGGATGTGATCTGGCATGTACAGCCCATCACTATCCCATGGTTGACTGTAGAAGAGGTGTACCATCTGCCGCACACTCCCTCATCTCCAGACCATGAAATTACTGTCAGTATCAAAGCTGTTCTCAGAATAGTCACAAGCAGGAGGAGAGACAGCTGGGCATTCGCTGTCAGCATTGCTGGCCTGTGCCAGGGGAAGAGGTGGGGTGAGCAATGCAGGCCGGAGACAAAGAAAATGACACAGTAACCTCACAGGTCTGCTCCCTGCTCCTGCACTGTCTGGGTGTCTTTGGCCAGCTCACATGAACTGCCTGCCTCACCTACTGACCTGACTCTACCCCTAAAGTGACCCCTGTGGGATTGCCAGGGCTTCAGGCGAAGGCTCAGTTTGGCCCACAGTCGGTTTCCCCACGAGTGAAGCTGCAAAACTGGCGCACAGCTGTTGAGAGGCTTCATTAGCTGCTGTTGTCACTGGGCATCCTATTTGGGTGCTAGGTATTAATTTGCAGGATCCCCAGCACTGGGAAATTAAGTGGATGCTCACTGGAGTGAATGCCCCTCTGTCAGGTGCACACAGCACTCTCGTTCCCCAATGGAAATGTAACCAGCAGGCTCTTTCGACATCTCCAATCCAGCCAAACCCAGCACATCCACAGCACCTCCTTCTCTGTGGATCTGGGTGGCACTAACTGCCCTTTGCTCTCTCTCTTATCACTCAAAGAGCTTGGCCAAAGTCTGGAGAACTCCTGTCTCTGGAAGTTTCCTCTAGAGATGAGCTCTTCTACATTCCCCTGCTAAGAAATGGGTGCTTTTGCCTTTCCTGCTCCTCTTGGCCTTGGGTTGGTCCCACTAGTCTTGCTGGGAGGCTATAACTGAGAGGATGGTGGAGATTCCCTGACGAAGGTGTCAGGAGAACAAAGCGTGGCTCCTCGGGGAAGGGCTGACTCAGAGAGCAGTGTCCAGCCATGGCTGGTCCCCAGGGGAACCAAGTCCTCAGACAGAGGCACCCATGCGGTCACAGTTCAGAGCAATGACACCGAGCTGAGTCCAGTGTCTCCCACAGAGAAAAACAAGGGGACGTCCCAGGAATCTGAGCCCTGTGCAGCTCCTGGATCCCAGCTTGCCAGGAAGGATCCCTTGGGAGTGACATGGGAAAAAGTGCTTCTCCACAGCTGAGTTGGGCCCTCAGAGTATCACAGAGTGAGGGTTGGTAAAGGCCCCCTGTGGCAATGGGACGTTTGTGTCTCACTTCCCCATTGCACTGTGTGACTGTGAGCCTTGCTGCTATCCCACACCTGGCAGTAATAATCTGCTTCGTCCTGGGCTTGGACTCCAGTGATGGTCAACGTGGCCGTGTCACCAGATTTGGCACCAGAGAATCGGTCAGGGATGCCGGAGGGTCTTTTGCTATTCTCATATATAATGAGTAGAGGGGCAGTGCCAGGTTTCTGCTGGTACCACTGCACATACTTGCCACTAATGCTGTTCCCGGAGCAGGTGAGCCGAGTGGTTTCTCCAGGAGACACAGACACTGAAGGCGGCTGCGTCACCACGTACTGGGCAAGGGAACCTGAAAGAGGAGAAAAGGTGGGGATGAAAAGCTTCATTAGTCTGCACAGGCAGCGCAGGGATGTGGAGAAATGAAAATGGCCCTGGGTTAAGAGACTGTGAAATCTCCACCTCCCCCCTGTCTTGTACCAGAGGAATAGGTGACCAATGCAAGGAGAAGCAGGGCCCAGGCCATGGTGGGAATCCAGACCACTTTGGTTTCCTCAGGCAAATGGATCCCTGTCTGGGACCCTCTGAATCTCTCTTAAACCCCCAGATCTGAGATCAGCCCTTTCATGCAAATCTGCCCCCTGCTCACTGGCTGTTGCTGCCTTTCACTTCCCCAAGAGCAGAGACCACAGGACAGCACCTGGATGCATAAATTCCTGTGGCCATTGCAGGAGGAAAGGGGAGATGACTGTCTATCTGACAGGGGTCAGTGCAGTGAATGCTGGAGGTGGGGACCCCATGGGCTCAGTCAGTCAAGTACGATGCCCAGAGCAGTACCTCAAGCTTGAGGACTTGCAGACCTTCCCCACCAGGGCCCCAGGTCTTACTCTCCAGCCCCAGCTCCAGGCCTGAGCCACCTCCTGGGCTTGTAAGAAAGAATCCCAGAGGGGCATCGTGTAGAGCAGCAGTGGCATGTGGATGCTGTGGCCTGGGGTGGAGCAGGAGCTCAGTGCACAGTGAGTGCCAGGGGATGGTCAGTGCTTGGACTGTGATGGCTGTAGTGGAGCTGGGGCACTTAGTGACAGATGGGGCTGCTGGCAGGGCAGTAGCAGGAGACCTGCAGTTGCCCTCCCTTCCCCCTGCTTGAGGAGAACCCCACCGACTGACGAGGAATTGCTCGTTGCTGTGAGTGGTGAGGCCTTCAGGGCACAAGGCTGCCATTTCCTACACCATTAAGGACGGGTGCTTTTAGCAGGGGGAGTGAGGCTGGGAGCCATGAGGAATATATGGGGTGTCGGGAACCAGTGCATATTCCCATTCTTCCAAACAGGTTTAGACTGTGCCCCTTGCCTCAGGCCATAGAGCAGCAGTGGCCGGCAAAGGGCCCAGGACCTTCTAGAGAAAGAAAGAAAGAAAGAAAGAAAGGGACATGGAAGAGGGGGCAGCAGAAATCACAGTGGCAGAGTCTCTGGGGCTGCCACTTTCAAGCAAATCCAAGATCTGGACACCCAAGAAAAAAGAAACAGAGAAGGTGCTGATAATGCCATCCAGAGCGCCCAGAACACCTCCTTCCTGGGTCAGGTTGGGAATAACTGCCCTTGGCCTCTCTCTCCTCAATGTAAGAGATTGTCCAGGTCCTGTGTCTTCACTTCCAGGAAGTGACCTGTGAACCCCACTTCTCCACACCATCACAGTGCAGGGGATGGTGAAAGCACCTGTGACAACAGTATGTTTGTGTCTCACTTCCACATTGCCCTGTATCACTGTGAGCCTGAGAACTGCTGCTGTCCCACACCTGGCAGTAATAGTCAGCCTCATCCTGAGCTTGGACTCCAGTGATGGTCAATGTGGCCGTGTTGCCGGAGTTGGCACCAGAGAATCGGTCAGGGATGCCGGAGGGTCTGTTGCTATCACTATATATAATGAGTAGAGGGGCACTGCTGGGTTTCTGCTGGTACCAGTGCACACTCTTCCTACCAATGTTGTTCCCGGAGCAGGTGAGCCGAGCAGTCTGTCCTGGAGACACAGACACTGAAGGCGGCTGCGTCACCACGTACTGGGCAAGGGAACCTGAAAGAGGAGAAAAGGTGGGGATGAAAAGCTTCATTAGTCTGCGCAGGCAGTGCAGGGATGTGGAGAAATGAAAATGGCCCTGGGTTAAGAGACTGTGAAATCTCCCCGCACCCCAGGCAAGTACCAGAGAAATAGGTGACCAGTGCGAGGAAGAGTGGGGTCCAGGCCATGGTGGGAATCCAGGCCAGCTTGGCTTCCTCAGGTAAACAGGTCTGTGTTTGGGACCATCCACGTCTCTCTTAAACCCCCTGATCTGAGATCAGCCCCTTCATGCAAATCTGCCCCTGCTCCCTGCCTGCCGCCACCTTTCATTTCCCTCCAAGCAGAGACCACAGGACAGCACATGGCTGCATAAATTCCCGTGGCCATTGCAGGAGGAAAGGTGGGTCAAGTTTCCATCTGCCAGGGGTTAAAGCAGCGAGTGCTGGAGGTGGGGACCCCATGGGCCCAGTCAGACAAGCGTGGATGCCCAGAGCAGTTCATCAGCCTTGAGGAATCACAGGCCTTCCCCACGTGGCCCCAAGTCTCACTCTGGCTCTGCTCAGCACCATCCCCAGCCCCAATCCTGAGCCCCTTTCCTGGGCTTAGGAGAAGAAATCCTGCTGGGCCCTGAAGAGCTGTGTGGTGTGTGGATGCTGTGGGCTGGGTGTGGGGCAGTCCTGAGTGTCCAGCCAGGGGGTGGTCAGAGGTGGGGACCCCATGGGCCCAGTCAGACAAGCGTGGATGCCCAGAGCAGTTCATCAGCCTTGAGGAATCACAGGCCTTCCCCACGTGGCCCCAAGTCTCACTCTGGCTCTGCTCAGCACCATCCCCAGCCCCAATCCTGAGCCCCTTTCCTGGGCTTAGGAGAAGAAATCCTGCTGGGCCCTGAAGAGCTGTGTGGTGTGTGGATGCTGTGGGCTGGGTGTGGGGCAGTCCTGAGTGTCCAGCCAGGGGGTGGTCAGTGTTTGGGCTGTGATGGCTGTGCAGGGACTGGGGGTGGCTGGCGGCAGATGCAGCTGCTGGCTGAGCAGTAGCAGGGGAGCTTTGGTTGCCCTCCTTGCCCCCTGCTCAAGGCAGACCCCCACTGACTGCTAAGGACTCGGCTCACTGCTATGACCACTGGGGCCTGGAGGCACAAGTCAGCTGGGCCTTAACACTGCTAAAGACTGGGGCTCTTGCCAAAGGCAAGGAGCTGTGAGGAGGATGTGGGGTGTCTGGGACCCAGAAGGGTTCCCCTCTCCCCCATCCTCCCAAATAGGTCTGGGCTCTGCCCCTTGCGCCATCCCACAGGGCAGCACTGGCCAGCAAAGAGCCCAGGACCCTCCAAAGCAGGAAGGGAAGCAGACTTGAAGAAGGGCTAGCAGAAGTCAGAGTAGGTTGAGGCTCCGGGAAAACTTGGGCAGTGTCCAGAAATCAGGCCCGGACTCTGGCCTGGGATCAGTTGACTTGGACTTGGCTTTCCCCAGAAAAGCTGGGGGTGGGCTGACAGCACCTGGGGGTAGCCTGCACAAGGAGCCTGATGTTCACAGCCTGCACTGGACAGGACTGCCCTGAGGGACCACACTAGGCACAGAGCATCCCTCTCATACTGGGATCTTCGCACCATTGCCTGAGTGTGATTGTACTGTTCCTCTCTTGCAGACCTGGCCTGGTGCCCTGTGCTGCTCCTGTGGCTCCTGTGTGCTGTGGGTCACAGTGGATCCCCAGCGCCCTCCAGTGCCCACTGCCACAGCTGTCAGGACTGCCCAGAGGTACAAGTAACAGCGCTGCCAAGTCATGTCCTCTCATCCAGCTGTTCTGCATCTGGACATAATTCTTTATGCAGGGACTGGGATGTCTGTGCCAGCAGCCTGACTGGCACTCAGGGGCAAGGCCTGCCAAGGCTTCAGACTGTTACAGCAACCATGCTGCAGAGAGGTCCCTTCTGACCCTAACATCTATGAATCTATGAATACTCTCTGGGTTCTACCATGGATCCAGTTACCTAGCCACCAGCCACCAAAGTAGCCGAGGCCACATTTTCGCAATTCTTTCACGAGGACTTCATGGGATACCAGGTCAAAGGCCTTTCTAAAGTCCAGGTATATGACGTCAAGCCATGGGCTGGAAGGTCAGATGCCAGCAGTACTTTCCCTCTCGTCCCACGTAGCTGTGGAGTTTGAGCCAGGCCCTTGCCCCACCCCACACTGTGACACGGTCCCCCCCGAACTTTCCCTGCTCTGAAGAGCGAGGGGCAAGGTGCCAGGTCAGAGCACTGGGATCCATGGCAGAACAGTGAGTGGGAGCAATGTTAGGAGTGCCAGCTCTCTCCCCGATCAGCCCAAGACAGCCCTCTCCAGCACCTGCACCCACCCTGCAACAGGGATAAATCCATGCCTTCACCCACATTGAACCTGCTGCTTCCAGATGTGCACCAGGCCAAACCATTGGGCTGCTGGCTGGCAAAGTATTCAGGAGCCTTCATAGCAAGAAACAGATGAGGATCAGTGGGTGGGTAGGGAAGGGATGGGTAGCAGAAGATGCCATGCACATATTCTCTGGGCAAAACATCCAGGCAGCAGGATAGGTCTTTCACCTGCTGCAGTGGCTGGCAAAGTACTCAGGACCCTCTAAAGCAGGAAGAGAAGCAGGATCAAGGGGTGGGGGAAGCAGAAGATGCCATGCACATATTCTCTGAGCAGAGCATCCAGGCCTCAGGACTGGCCTGTGACCTGGAGTCTGCAGGCCAGGAGGTGCCTGCATCCAGGCAGAGTTGGGGATGATATGAGTTCATTCAACACTAAGCTGCAAGAGGAGCCCCCCAGTTTCCCCTTGTGCAGGACAGGGCTGTCCCCAGGGCCTGTGCTACAACCTCTGAGAGTGAGAAAGTCACCCTGTTGTGTGAAGGGTGATGGCACTGTTCCCAGGCAGCCCTGTTCGGTGGCCTGTGCTAACCAGGAGATGCTGTCCCCATGTCTGTCACAGTGAGTGCACAGTGCCCTCCAGTGCTCACTGCTAGGGCTGCCACCAGGACACCTCTGACTCCCCACAGCTGCAAGTAACAGCGCTGCGATGCCCTTTCCCCTGCTCCAGTTCTGGAGCAGAAGTGAGGTGGGGTGAGCAGGGCAGCAGCCCTGGCATCACTTTTGTGTGGCGAGGACCAACAACAGGCACTGTCACCATTAGCAGCAGGAGCTGGCATTGCTTCAGGCTTTGCAGCGGCCTTAGGCCTGGAGCTGCTCTGCTGTACCTTCCTGCCATCTGCTCCATGTCAGGACATTATTTGTCTTGGAGTGACTGATGTGTTTGTGCCACCAGCCTGTCTGGATCTCAGGCTGAGGCCTGGGAGGAGTTCGGTCAGTTGAAGCTGCCATGCTGAGGACAAGCAAAATATATAACTGGCACATTGTCAGTGTGTTGCCGTGTGACTCCAAGGGTAGGATGCAGGGAACTGGGTCGGGGGAGGAGGGAGCTTCATCCATCCAGTCCCTACTATTGTGGTCTCATTCATAGTTAGGCTCTGAAAGAGAAAAA